AACAAGCCATTGGTTTTCTTGATTGAGTATGTTGGCTTTGAAAGGATAGCCACTGCTCCGGCTTGACCTCATACGCTTGCCTATGCCACTGCGCACAACAGGAGCGTTTATTTGTGAGCACTTATAGTATACCACCTTAACATCGCCTTCCTTCCTGTTGCCATCCCTCTTGGTACGCTTGACAACAATGACATATCCTTGTGATATTGCATGGTCCTTTGCAGCAGCTTGAGCCTCAGCAAGAGAGGCATGTCCAATTGTGAAAGAGGAGTAAGGGTGTTCATTTTGATAGAGTCGTTGTAACAGGGAAGGTTGCAATTTGAAGGTGAGTGTCTTGTGGGTGTTGAAATTCTTACAGTTGCGTTCATTCTCTTTGACCAATCGCAACGGTGGGTTATAGCCAATCAAAATTAATTTGGGGGGTGGATGGTTAACGTTTGGGTGGTGGATATATAACGCTTCACTTTCCGATATTGAAGATAATAAATACACAAATATTAATCATTTAGTTTAAAAAGTGATAAAACCCCATCATCAATGAATGCTGCACGTACGAGCACATAAATGCTTACCTTATAGCAACATAAATAAAAGGACTGAAGTCTTCGTTTCATACAGATGCCGCAGTAAATTGGTATAGATATGTCACCAGACGATTACCTTTGTCGGATCAGCCGTCGAGTATTTGATAATTATATATTCTGATATACCATGAAAGCGGGCGACAGCCAACATCGCTCTACGCAGAATTCGTATCTTCTTTTAGTAGTACTTAGTATGCTGAGAGCAAACAATGCCGTCTCTAATTACCTGCTTACGCTGTCGTGCGTTGCAGGTGGTAGCTGTGGCTGCTGGTTGTTGCTCACGTTTCGGTCGCCCGATAGATGTGGGTTGCACGACCATATCTTTTGCCACTTGTTTCGCCTTGTTCGCAAAACAGGCAGCAGCCTAAATTTGATCACCACAAAGACGCTGCACAGATCGTATTGTCGACTTTTCGATTCAAATCGATAATTAGAGAGAGTACAAACCGGTCAGCAACAATACATATTCCCATGACGCAGATAGCTGCATCAAAAGACCTTTCGAATGTCGCCACTGGCAAATCTACATCGGTAGTAGTATGGTTGCGCTTAATATAGACGATTACCCATATGTCGAATGCCGCTAGTGTCCTGTTGCCGAATGCGATAAGGTCTACGTCCGAAATAATGGTAGTCTTGGCATTCAAAGTGTTAGCAAACATCGACATGAGCACCAAACATATTTGGTACAAAACTTTCGGTCACCTGTCCATATAGAGTACTACTTGTTTTGCTTGTCGATACGCCCTCACACGCTGCCTCAGAAAGTACCCCTCAAGACTCAAACAGAGCACCGTTTACGGGCCGAATATATAATACGCGCTGCAAAATCTTGTTCTTCACAACTTATCGCCAAGTAGACACTTCACGTTGAACCATCAAAATAATTGAACAAGTAGATAACTAGCAGCGTAACCATGCTATCAAAACCTTTTACATCAACAGGCTACGCTGTAAGGGTTGACCGATCTTCCCCTCTCAAACAATATGAAGGGGTAACGGAAATAACTCAATGGGGATTAAACTGATAAAGTTAGCGAGGAAGTGAAGATATACGACATGTTTTTAGACGATATCAGTTTGTGTACTTATTAAGTCGTTAATCATGCGGCCATCAATGTAATAAATAAATTTTGGAACTTTGGTGCATTTTGTTTTCATCACCTTTGCCATTTATGTACTTATAAATATGATCTATACACATTTTTTGCTCTTTCAAATGTGTATATTTCTTTTTCTTTGTGCAATTTATTAAGATTTAGTTTTAAATATCTTTCTTTTTTTTGATTTTAGATAAATGAGCGAGCTTTGGATCTTCCCAAGATGTGACTGCGGTACTTAGATCTGTCACCAATATGATTCTATAGTGAATATATGGAAATGATCATAGCATAGAATACTCAGCAACATCATAGAGGGGCATTTTATTATTTGTTACAAACCACAATTACATGCAATCTGCTCCAATTGCTCTACGTCTTGCATTCATGGCCTGCGTCCGCGTGTGTCTATCACATTGTTGCTGAACCTCTGACATATGAACGTGCTTGATGAGGCCCGACGTTAACGCTGGCTTGACAGCGTTCTTACCACCTCAATACAATCATTTGTCAATGTTTAGATGCCACTTTCGCAGCAACAGTCAATTTCAAATCACTCGAATTTACACAGACCGCTAGGGTCCCCTTCCATGTTTAGAACCTGATTCAAAACCTGATTCAAATCATCATCGTTGTTGACCTCTCTACATTTGTTGCAAAGTACGTGTTATAAGACCCTCAACGGTACGTTCTAGACGCCCGAAGTCCTGAATGTTTGTTGTACGAAACAAGCGTTGGGCTTCCCTTGACCGCACCAATTCGTGCACGCGCAACCGATTTAGTGTCTTGCAATGTGTTGTGTGAGATTTTGACTCGACTCATGTCGTGCTGAGCTCAGTAGCTACCACAGCTTATTCTCGCAAAGTATACGCAGCCTTTTCTCCCCGCCAAGCAGACAAAGGTGTGATCCGTATCACAAGAGCCTCCTTAGCAGCTTCTCTCGACCCAAATGCTACTTACTGTTTTGCTTCCGCATGGCCACGCATATTGCCTTGTCGTTGGAGGCACAGAAGACCTTCTCCATCAAAAAGGCAGTCCGTGTCAACCTTCGCCCAGTCGTGCTACGTCTAAGTGGCTTGTCGAACAGAGCAGAAAGCTCAGACACAAGGACCAAAGTGTAGGCTATCATGATGCAGACGAGTTGCTTGCATTCCTCCATCTATCGATATAAGAGCGTCTCGTGGCCCTCGAGGACTAACACTCGATGGTATTCCAAATATGCGATGCCAGCGATCTGATGGACGTCATCAGTGGCACTTACTTTTCCACACGTCGCGAGTATGCAATTGAGATTATGCGGGCGTTTCAGATAGCAGCACCCACTGCATGGGAAGCTGATCACGACACCCTGTCTGGATAAGACGGAGTGACATCGCTGTGCTTATATAAACAGAGGAAACACATGGAGGCTGATCGATCGATCGATCGAACGCAACGACGGGTAGAAATGGTTGGCGGCGACCTCAAGACACCAACAGCGTTCGTGTTTCTTGGTAACTCGCTTGCACGTCGGTCATCGACACCCTCCAAGCAGCTATTGTCGTCTTCGTAGTAGATACTATGCATCATGAACTGGGCTCAATCCAGAATGAATTGCCGGACCTACGGGCCTTTCCACCAACCCTGTGCAGTCGGTCGGACGCGTGAACCTCTTGCGTCACTGTTCCCATGAGATTAGCAACCGTCAAGAAGTACATGACCAAACCTCTCTTCTACGCTGTTCACCTGAGCGTTGTCGCTCGATGCTCGGTAGGTTTCTGCTGCAAACGCTCGTTCACGGATGGCAGGAGTCCGAGAGGCCGTATCGCAACAAGCTGTCATCGATCCGTGTTGCTGCACGCTCAAGACTTCCTCTCCGAGACTTTTCGAATGCACCGGCTGCGTCGCCCTCTTGTAAAGACGTGTTCTTGCTGCTATGCCCGCAACTTCCAAGTCAAGAGACCACGTACTTTGAATGTTGCTACTAGTGGGCATACCGAACAGAATGCAGGGATTCCTAACATGTTATGAACCTGAATATCTTGTTCGGTACATGCTTCGATCGGATGTCAGTGTGGCTTGCTATGAACGTGTACGTCCATAGCCAAATGGTGCCCTTTTGCATAGTGACGTGTTGACAAAGAGCTTTTAGTCGGCAACGCAGTGCCCTTTCACCCAGCCATACCGTCTGACGTGTCAGATCGGAGCGCAACTAGAGATCGTGCGCTGGGCTGTCATCAATGCACACATTGTGTCGCTAGCGCGCTCCGAGTGAGCAATCCTGGCAAAAGGAGTGATCGCGACGATTGTGAAGGGCGCTATGACGGTGCAGAGTCGAATCGATCTTGTCTTGCCAAGTGCGTTGCCATGAAACATGACCTCGTGGTGGAAACTCACATTGCGTGATGTAGCGCCTGTGATACGAATGAGGGGTGAAGAGATGCTGCTACATCTAGCACAAGTCATGCAAGCGCCGCATGTCTTGCGCATCGGGCTCCACCTCGTATGGTCTAAAATCATCGCAGAATCCACTCAGTGCTTTCTTCAAACGAAGGGCTAGAACTGCTGCATCAATTGATCTTCTCACTGCCTATGATACTAGCCCATCAGGCTATCGACTAGCACAGGAGATCACAACTTGCTCGCGCGTTCACCTGCATTTCAATCTGGCTTCGTGCCATTGTTTTGCCAGAGTCCTCTCTACTTATTGGCGTCATCATCCTGCACTTCACTATCGACCGCAAGAGTTTTGCACAAAGCCGCGTTTCCATTATGATCGAATCAAACCACCTCGTCGAGTTGGCGATAGGTTTTCAGACGTCACCCACAGGAAACGTCCTTGTGACGTTGCTGTTTGCTGTCTCCCAACGATGGCCAATGAAAACAAGAGGGCACCAAAGAATGAAGTAAACACCACGTAAGTCGACACGACGAACAATCCGATGTTCTCGCTGTATGCCAATCCAAATCGAGCGCAGAACCTGCTTGACACAAACCGCGCCTTGCCGTAACAACGAGCGCGAAGCTCTGCGAAACAATCGAGCTCAGACTTGGCGGTACTGAAGGTCTAGTACAATGATCAAAGTCAGCTGAATGCGTGACCGAATCACTCGACTTTCCATGCCAGTGTTGACGATTGTGCTTGCCGTTACACGCTACTGCGTACTCACTGACGACAGTGGATGGCATACGCAGGTACTACTATTTTTCAGCGAGCACCAATTCCTGCCGTCGGCCAGACGATTCAAACATGTTGTCGACATCGGGTCGCCAGGTGGCAATGCACAGAACAAACGAGACCGTAGACCAAGTGCCACAGCTTCCATTGCCTCTCATATCACTCCTTCTTGAGTTTCCATGATGACAACGCATTCAACTCTTTGCCACTCACGTACACGTGTAGCAAATACCAGTCCATTGTCAGCAGTGCCAGCACGACAATCACATTGGGGGCCGAGCGCACAAATAATAGTACCACGTTCAATACAGCTACAAGACCCAATTTCCACTGCAGTGGAACACTGCGCAGGTCTGGGAAACTGTCAATGGTCTCAGTGCGATTGTGCTCCAACACGATAGTGTCAACGACAGGCCGAGCATCTTCGACAGCAACACCATCACACACCTCGTTCTCATCGTCCGACTCCGACTCATCATCGTCATCTTCGTCAGAGTCGCTGTCTTCCTTGATGTCAGAGTCACCCTCTTCGCCATCGTTGTAAGTCTCAGCCGAATCCGGTGGCGGCTGATCACGTTGCCTGGATGGATGAGACGTATTCACAACTGGGTCATTGATACACGATGTTGCATCAGATTTCGGTAATTCGGCTCCAGGCTTACTGGGGTGCAAGCCTTTTCGTATTGCTGACGACTTTACGGCCTTGACCATTGCTTTCTTGCTCTTACTGCCACGTCGAGAGAGCTGCGCAGTCAATATAGCAGTCGAGACTGCATTTTCCCACTCGCTGTATTCGATTTGTGACGAAGCGCATATCTTCCAGCACTGTTTCTTGGTGCGGACGAGAAACATGTACGACGTAGGAGCGGCGTCCAAATTCAGACAGTTCGTGATGGCTAAAGAAGCGTGCTTGTTTGTCAAGTTCAGCTTCGCCAACGATAGCCCGCGACGAGCTGCATCCTCCGAGTCGTAGTAGCGCAGGACGCACTTTTGCGGGTCCAACACAAACCACTTTCGGTACCAATTTCGTCCATGAAAGTTCACACATCGCTGGATAATAAGGAACCCCGCCTTTGCTGGGAGGATGCTACAATCAGGATCTTGTAGTCGACTGGGGATCGACGCCGCATGGCTCGACATCCTTCGGGCGATCAAGTGTCGAGTTTTAGCATGCCCAGCACCTTCCTCTTTGTCCCCAAACCCATTCGCAAATGGCTTCGAAAACAGTGAAATCGACGAGTTGACCAAACGCCGCGGGTCCATAACATTGCTCCGTGTATGCTCAATAAAGCCCATGCGACGATTCTCTGCGTCGCCGACACAAAAACTCGACCCTTCGCCAGCATTGCCCCTCAACACGTTATCACGACTCTCTGTCCCCCCTCTCGATCTTGGAATGCACTAGAGGAAACAACTGGCCGCCGTGGTTTCATCTCGAGCACTTCGCTATGCGGCTCCACCTCAGCCCAGTACATCAACACTTTGGCTTTGCTCCACGTGTACGTGTTGTCCCACGTCAGTGTACACGTACCGGGACGTTCACAGCAATACGAGCCCTTCACGAACTTCACGTCGGCTCCTTCGCGCGAATACGCACGAATCACTTGCTCGTGAAATGTCGCACTGAACCCAATATTGTGCTTCTTGGTGGCGAATTGCCACACTGCCACGTCACCTGCAGCTTCAAGTGGCAGTGTCACGGAAAACGACTGACCCGCTCGGACAGTCACGACCGTACCCGGACGTTTCCCAGGCTTCGTGGACGGCATGACCTCCTCGTCGTCGTCGTCGTCCTCCTCGCCTTCGTTCTCGTCCTCGTCGCTGCTGTCTTCCACTTGTGCGGTGCTCGTCGCCAAGAACTCGTGCAGCACTTGCGACGCTTTGACTTCGGGTATTTGCAGTAGTCGCGTTAAGTACGTAGTCAACTCGGTACGTTTCTCGTGCATGTACTCGGGCACGAGTTTCTTCGTGCGCATGGCAGGGAACGGCCGTGGCAAGTGCGATTTCGGGTACGTCTTGAGCAGGCGCATGTGCAGCGCATGCAGCTGTTTGTAGCTCCGATGCACGAGATGCCGACGAGTGGTCGTGTCTTCGCTAAAGTACGCGGCGATCGCGAACAGCGCGTAGCAAGTGCTACTGTCGGGGAGATAGCGCAGCGGGTCGAGCGCTTTCTTCCTGGACGTGCGTCGTTTCTGGATCTCGTGGCCTTCGATGCAGCACGCAACGAGCTCGCTCTTGCGCCCCCTTGTCGCGTCGTCGACCGCCATGCTGGCCGCCCCGGGTGCCCTTCCAGTGTGTCCGTGCGCGGTGGGGTTGTCGAGTTGTGTACACGTGGCGTGGCAGGACAATCACTCTGTCGTTTGTCGGGCGCACGAGACGTGACAGAAAGAGTCGGACCTGGGACCGCCTCGTTTTTCTGGTGCCCGTGGCGGTCCCGGGGGCAGCGAATGGGGGAGCACGCACCATCATTCCGCAATTTCCTTCGCGCGCCACAGTACTTCAACCGTTTGCAATCCGTTTTGGGCCACAATGATTGCCATTGCTTCGAGCGACGCCTTCCACGCTGCAGTCGCTGCTGCCGCGACGGCCAAACCCCTCGTGGTCTTTTTCACGTCGACCGAGTGCAGCAAGTGCGAGGACGTGACGCCCCAAGTGACGGCGCTCGCAGAAGAGCTGGCCGCAAGCGCTGCGTTCGCCACTGTGGGTGCCGAAGAGCTCGAGGCGCTCGTGAAGGAGCTGCAAGTGGACAGCTTCCCGCACTTTCGCGTGTACAAGGACAACGCGATCGACTGCTCGAGCTCCACATTCGACGAGGTGGACGCGTACGTCCGCGGGCTCGTGGTGCCGGACACGCCCAGGACGGACGACGCGTCGTCAGTGCCCGACCGTGCACCGGAACAGACAGGAGACGACGAGGGCAGTGCTACGAAGCCGAAGGAGGAGGAAGAGGAAGCGGTGGGTGGAGCGTGCGACGCGGAGGCTGCGAATGGCTCGAAGAAACGACAGGAGCGCGAGGAGGAGATGGAGTCGAACGACGGCCACGCTGCAAAGAAGATGAAGACGGACGACGGAGTGGCTGAGCCTGTCGAGGACGACGGAGCTGTAGTCACGGAGGAAGCCGGGAGAACGAACGTGGCGCCGAACGAAGAGGAGACGCCAGACGGGACGGAGAAGAAGCGGGACGAAGGCGGGGCGGCCGACAAGACCGCGTCGAGTGCTGCTGCTGCGTCGGACGTTGTTGCAGCCTAAGACTGGAGGAACGCGCCGACCGTCGTGTGCTTTTCCAGCCATAGCCGGACGACTGCATGCGCAGAACGCCCGTGTCCATTGATGACGGAATGGGTGCGTTTTGCCTGGGCGTCCACCCTAACACAGGAAAGCAGTTGACAGTAATCTATGGGGTAGGGGTTTCCTTTTCATTGGTAATGGTGTGCAGTACATGAAACAGACGGAGACGGAGTGCAACGCTGCACGTCGTCGCCGCCCCAGTATGGCGAAGGGGCTAACAACGCGACTGTCCGTCCGTCCGTCCGTCGAGCTGTCTGTAGTCTCATGTTCTCTATTCGCCAACATGCTCGTGGCAGTAGCTGTCGTACTGGTCGAGCACGCCTCTGTACTTGCTGACCAGGTCGTGTGTTGTGAGCCGCTTCTCAATGTCGTGCATGTCTTGACCGTTTCGCAACCAGCTGCTAAAGACTTTCTCGGCGTGCTTCTTGTCGTGACTCATGTCCCCCAGCAACTTCGAGTCGATCGACTTGGCGTCAGCTGTCGTTGCCGCAACTGTCCGCTCTTCGGGTGCTGCTCTCGCTGCTGCTTCCATGCTCTTCAGAGACCGCGCGACGCTGGTTCGGTCCACACTCGGGGCCGTGCTATCTGGGGATTGAAAACGCGCATTGCCAGATGCTGCCTTGGACTCGACGGACTGCGTTGTACAGCCAGCGAGAAGGAGAGCGGCTGCGGCTGCAGTAGTTACCCGGAAGACGGAGGTCACGCGCATTGTTGACGACGGCTGTGTGGGGGACTTGCGGTCTGAAGGTCTTTGACCCAATTGTGCACTGCGTGTCGGACTAAATACGACTGAGGAGCAGAGGAGCACAAACAGGCGCGTTCGATTCGAATCAGCTCGTGCTGCGCTTCAGCTCAGTCTGCGATGAAATAAGATCTCACAGTGCGACGAATGAACCTGATACCGTGCGTGACCCATACAAACGCGCAATGAAATTTGGCCTACTGTCTGTCTGTCTGTCTGTCTGTCTGCGCAACGATCTATGCCATCCTCACACGCAGTGCTTGAGACGAACCACCTGCACGAGCGCCACCTTGTCGCTCTCCTTGATAACAGCTCGCAATTCCTTCTTCAGTTCCTTGTCGCTCTTCGTCGATAACTTCTTGTCCCGAATCTGTCGCAGCACCTCATCGCTCAGCGTTCCCAGCTCCAGCTCCTTGTTCGCGCTTTTCAGCGCACATGTCACCAACTTGCTCCACTTGATGGGCTTGTTGACGGTCTTTGCTTTCTTGACGACTGTATCGTCCTGTGCTGCCACTTCAGCAAGCCGCTTCTTGCAGCCATCGTCTTGTACCACTGGATCGCTAGCGCTCGATTCGTTCTGCCCAGCTGCACTGGCGAGGAACGCCGTCTCGTACATAGTCCACACCTTTTCGACGAGGGTCGAAGAATCACGCAGTGCCAAGCTGTTCATGACAAAGTTGATAAACTTGTTCTTCTTCCGAGGCACGTTGTCAGCGCCAGCGAGACGCGTCAAGACGTTCTGCACGCTGCGGTCGTCTGGGCACGTCGTGGACTGCACGATTTCCACCCATCGCTCCTGTGGTGTCTGTTTCGTGCTGCGCTTTTGCTTGTGCTTCTCGCCCGTGAACAGACTCTTTTCGTACTTCTCTGCCTCGGACATGCAACTCGTGTGCGCAGCGTAGTCGTTGCCCTCGAACACGACGCTGCAATCCACGCAGCTCACGGCCCAGCAGTTGCGGCAGCGGCTTGCGTGCGAGTCCACCCTGTTCTTCTTGACCGTCTCGTTGCAGCCTTCGCACACGAAGAAGACCATGCGATCTCCGACACACACGTCGACACGGACTCTTGGTTTGTTGAGCGTTCAAGCAGCGCCAGTGAATGGTCGTACAACTTGTACGAGCGGAGGCAGCCGGTATACTTACACTCGCACAAGAGCGGTGTAGCTGTATAGTTAAACAAGGTCGTCCAACGAGAGAAGGAAGTGAGTAAGTGGTTCAAGCGCAAGCAAAAGGAGGCAAAAAGAAGAAGAAGAAGAGCAAGATATGCACGAAGAGGAGCGTGTAGACGGCACTGAAGCGAGCAACGAAGACGAGGAGGAGGAGGAGGAGATCGTGACGCTGTCGGATGTGCTCAAGCACAACGAGCACATGACAGAGACGGCAGACGCCGTCCTGGGCGACGCCAGCGACACAAACTGCAGTTACCCGATGGGGTACATCCGTCAGGCCGTTTACGCATGCATGACGTGTACCCCCGAATCTCTGGAGAAGCCCGAGACGCGCGCAGGTGTGTGTTTGGCGTGTACGTACAATTGCCACCACGACCACGAGCTCGTGGAGCTGTACACAAAGCGCATGTTTCGCTGCGACTGTGGCAATGACAAGTTCCCAACGAGTGAGTTCACGTACTGCTGCAATTCGATGGACATCTTTGTATCTGCTGCTCTCATTGTACGCATGGATATTGACGGTACTGTAATTGCTGTTGTTGTTGTTGTTGTAATGTGTGGTGTATCGTGCTGCAGCCATGTCGTGCAAGTTGGAAGCCGAGAAGGCGCCGACGAACCAGCGAAACACTTATTCTCAAAACTATGGTGGAGTCTATTGCAATTGCCATCGACCGTATCCCGATCCAGAACGCACAACAGCAGACGTGATGGTGCAATGCGTCATCTGCGAAGACTGGTTGCACGAGGAACACCTTTTCAACGACGGTGACGTGGAACACGGTGATGCTGAGAAGGATGCCTTACGGTCTACAGACAAAGACTCGCCCACGAGTGGCGATGCCGACAGCGCTGTGGATCTAGGAACCGCGATGTTGTCTGAAAAGTTTGACGAGCTCATTTGCCTCGAGTGTATGAAAAAGTACCCGTTTCTCATGGCGTACGCAGAAAGCAGCTCGGTTGTGCAAGCTACAGAGGAAGAGAACACTAGTGAAGAGTCGTCCAATGTGACGCCGGCTGGCACGAGTGAATGCGTGCTCAAGCTGAAGCAGAAGGAGCAGCATGTGGGAATGGAGAGCTCGACAGTTTTGCGACCGACTTTCTGGTCGAGTGATTGGCGCAATGACCTCTGTCGATGCTCGTCGTGCATTGCGTTGTTTGAGAAGCACGGCATTGCTTTTCTGCTAGACTCGGATGATGCTCTGCACGTGTACGAAGCCAGTGCTCGGGAGAAGAAAAGCGCTTCGGACGAGGAAGTCGCGCAGCGTGCATTTGCGAACAAGCTAACCCACGAACAACAAGTGGAAGTAGCGGTGGGCTATAGCGTCATGAAGACCAACCTTCAGCAGTATCTCGCAGGCTTTGCCGCTGAAGGCAAGACGGTACGAAAAGAAGATATCCAGCAGTTTTTCGAGAGGTTGAGCCAAACCAAGCGGCAGAAGACGGAGTAAAGACCCGGAGTAAAGTCGGAGACTCACGCACTCATTCGGTGCTCGCGCTTTGCTATATCGTAATCGATGCGCTCTTGACGTGCAGCCCCTAGTTACTTTTGGAACTTCAACAAGAACTCAAAGACCTTTGCCGACAAAGTAGGTGCAGCCTCCAGCGGGTCCCCGGGCTTGGCTGTTTCAATAGTAGCCGCCAAACGAGCGCCCTGGTCGATCGCACGCTTTGCATCCAGCTCGCCAGCCTCATCAGCGCCACCGATGCGAAAAACAGTGATGCCTTTTTCCTGCAATGGTTTTTCGAGCTCACGCAGTGGCACTTGGCCAACACAAACAACCACGTTGTCCACGTCCAGCAGCTGCTTCTTGCCGTTCTTGTCAGTGTAGTGGAGACCCGCATTGTCCACCTTATCGTACGACACACCACCTATCATCTTCACATTGCGGTGCTTGAGCGAAAGTCTGTGGATCCAGCCCGTCGTCTTGCCAAGATCCTTTCCATGCTTTGTACTCTTCCGCTGCATCAGGTAAACCTCACGCGATGGTGGCGGGATGCTAGGTTTGACACCTGCTACACCACCACGGACTGTATTGCTCGTGTCAATGCCCCACTCACGAGCAAACGCATCGACGCTAGAGCTGGTAGACTCGCCTTCGTGAGTCAAATATTCGGCCACATCAAAGCCAATGCCGCCCGCACCAATGATAGCCACCTTTTTCCCAACAGATGCCTTGTGCTTGAGGACATCTATGTAGCTCAGGACCTTCGGATGGTCCGCTCCCGGGATCGACAGGGGACGCGGGAGCACGCCCGTTGCAACCACAACTTTGTCAAATGCTCCAGACATCAAATCTGCGGCTTCTACGCGCTGCCCGAGTTTCACGTTCACGCCTTTCAGCTTCAGTTGCTTTTCAAAGTAGCGAAGCGTCTCGTAAAACTCCTCCTTGCCTGGAACGACCTTTGCCATATTGAACTGACCACCTATGGCATCAGCTTGGTCGAATAACGTTACCTCATGGCCGCGCAGCGCTGCTGTCGTTGAGAATGACAACCCAGCTGGACCGGAGCCCACCACAGCCACGCGCTGAACGTCTACCGCAATCAAGACAAATCGTTTAGTTCATCCAAAGCGTGTTTGCTAGAGCCACGAACTTACCATTCGTGGGCGTATAGTTCAGTACGGTCTCGTAGCCGGAGCGCGGGTTCACAAGACAGCTTGCCGTTATGCCTTTGAATGTGTGGTCGAGACACGCTTGGTTGCAGCCAATGCACGTGTTGATCTCGTCCACTCGGTCTTCTTCAGTCTTTCGCACAAACTCTGGATCGGCAAGAAATGGCCGGGCCATGGACACCATGTCTACAGGTGCAAAAGTTAACCCCACGCTCAGGATAATGCGGAACAAGTGCACCGTGAAAAACCTACCTGCTCTGCCCTCAGAAATGATCTGCTCGGCTACGTCAGGCATGTTGATGCGATTCGTCGTGATTAGAGGAATCGACACTTCGCCTTTCATCTTTTGCGTCACCCACGAAAATCCACCACGCGGTACACTCGTTGCAATCGTCGGAATGCGTGCTTCATGCCACCCAATGCCTGTATTGATGATTGTAGCCCCTGCAGCTTCAATCTGCTTGGCGAGCGTGACAATCTCGTCCCACGTACTGCCTTTTTCGACCAAGTCCAACATCGAGAGACGAAAGATCAAGATAAAGTCGTCGCCCACTGCAGCACGCACAGCCTTTACGATTTCAATCGCAAAGCGGATGCGGTTTTCGTACGGTCCACCCCATTCGTCCTTGCGCGTGTTCGTGTGCTCCACGATAAACTGGTTGATCAGGTACCCCTCGGACCCCATGATCTCGACCCCATCATATCCTGCTTCCCGTGCCCGCGCAGCACAGTTCGCGTAGTCACGAATGGTGCTTTGCACGGCTGCACTCGATAGCTCTCGAGGTGTAAACCAGCCAATGGGTGCCTTGATCGCAGATGGAGCCACATTGAACGGGTGATACCCATACCGTCCACTGTGCAGAATCTGCATTGCAATCTTGCCATCGTTGTCGTGCACCGCTTTTGTCACTTCTCGGTGCGCACTCACTTCTCCTTGTGTCGTCAGTTTTGCAGCCAAGGGACTGACCCGACCCGCTCGATTCGGTGCAATGCCACCTGTGACGATGAGGCCCACGTTGCCTCTGGCTCTACACATGTCACAGCAGCAACACCAGCAAAACACACAATAAGCGATACACACACACACAATTGATCCGTCGGCTGAAACAAAAACAAGGGCACGTTTTGACGTCAAGGCGACGAACTGGGCGACATCCACACGCACCTTTCGGCGAAAAAAGCGGCCAGTCGCGTGAGCGACTGGCCCTCCTCGAGTCCCGTGTGCATTGATCCCATGAGCACGCGGTTCTTGAGCTGCGTGAAGCCCAACTCCAGCGGCTGCAGCAGGTGCGGGTACTTGCTCATGGGTACACTCGCACGGCGTCGAGAGACAAGTGGAGCAGTCGGGCGGCAATGCGTTCGGTTGTGCTTGAAGTCGCCCGTGTGCACGTCGAGTTGGGCGGACAAAACGTCGAGGCTCTGACTCGATCGGACCGTCAACTTTCTAAGTATCCAGTGACTTCGTCTGAAACGGTACAGGCTCGGTCGGGCCCTGACTCGATCGGACCGTCAACTTTCTAAGTATCCAGTGACCTCGTCTGAAAACGTACAGGTGCGGTCGGGCCTGTTGTCGTGCCCCGATTTAGGCCTCCGGCGACGTGCGTGCGTAATTTCACGGTTAAAAGCGCGAGCAAATCGAGCCAATCACCGGCCGCCTCCGCTCAGCAGCTCTACGCGCCGCACATTTGAGCTCCTCGATCAGTGTCGCGATCAACTTTGCGAGAACCCCATCCAGCTCTAATGACTGCCGACTACACGCTGGACGAGATCCGCCGCTTGGCCGACACGAACCCGGAGAAGCTCGCGCAGGAGTACCAGGCGTCGCGCGCTGCCACTGCGAACCTGGTGGACCGTGCGCGGGCCGGCATTGCTGCACGTGCGGCCAACCCGCCTACGAACAAGTTCCAAGCGTGGGCGCAAGGCTACGGCAACCGCTTCATCTACAGCGGCAGCTTCAAGCCCGTCATGCACATGATGCTGATCGTGGGCGGTGCTGGCTGTGCCGTGGAGTACTGGTGCCACCACCGTAAGTTGATCAACTATGAGGAGCCGCTGGATAGAAACTCGTTTCTATTTGCACGGCGCTCAACGGTCTTGTGCTGTGGGCCATTTCTAATGCGTTGCTGTTTGCTGCGCTGTGTACAGGACACGCGTTTGCGGACAAGAAGGAGGGCGAGCACCACTAACTGGACCGATCGTCGTGCTGTCACGCTCTGGCTGGTGCTCCATGCTGAATCGGGTTCCTCACGTCTGATATTGTCGAAGTTCAGGAACACGTGGAAGCAGACGAGTGAAGTCAGCCACGTGGGACCAGTCTCAGTGCTCGTGCCGGTGAGCGAGCTATTTCTTGGACGGAAGGATGACGCGACGCTTGGTCGAGGACGTGTTACAGTCTCCAGCTCGAGAAATAAAACATTGTGAGCACGACCGCAAAACAACACGCTGAGTCTCAGTTGTTCTGACGTCGATTGATTTGTCGCGTCTCTCTTTGCTGCAAGCCGACATTCTCGCAGGGACTCTGCCCACGTGATGCAGCTGATATGCTGTCACAAGAGCGATGCCTGTTCCGCGGAGATACAGAGCTCTCGTGTCGGGATCTTCCCATAGCCTCGTACGACCAGTTTTTCAGGGTACACATGCACTAGTGCGTGAGCAGTCTCGGACGGAGCGCATTCTAGGACGGCGTCGCACACGACATAGTGCACTCCTCTCTTGCGGGAGCCCTCGTGGGCATAGACGTATCCGTTGGCGTGTGCATGACCTGAAAAGACGGCACAGATGCAGTCAAACTGCTCGATGAGCTGCAGCATTTCGGGGTAGTTCCACAACAAACTAGAGGGTGCAGGTGTCGAGCTCGGGTGGATCGGAATGTGCGTGAAGAGCACCACGTGCTGACCATTCGTCGTGGCTCGCACGAGCGTCTTCTCGAGCCACTGCTTCTGCTCTCGATCCACTGCGCCGTTGAAGGCGACGAACCTCCGTTGCTCGTTGACAAGACCCGCAGGAGAATTGAGGTTCTCGTTCGGGTTCACGCGGCGAAGCAAGGTCAAGGCTTCTTGAAACACGGGGTCACTCTCCTCACGTCCGAGGATCGACAGCCCGTAGCAGTCCAGCACGATGAAGCAGAACTGAGGTGCATCTGGAACTTGAAAGTCGTAGTAGCGACGTTGTTGATAGAGCAGATCGCGCTCGATCGTAGCAGCGGAGAAGTTGTAGAGCTCGTGGTTGCCAATCAAGTGATGCACTGGCCCCACGGCCTCTACGAACGGCGTCCACGCTGCTTTAGTGGCTTCCAGCGCCTGTCGAGACGTCGCAGCTGGTCGGTTCTTGCCATCCACGAGGTCCCCCAAGTTCACTGCAAAGCGGAGTTTCAACGGCGGCTGAGCTTCTTCGCTCTTGGCCACGCACAGCCATTCCGCGACCACTGCTCGCAGCTGTAACAGTGCGTTTCGGTAGTACCGCTGCGACGTGTGGTGAAAGTCCCACCCGTCCTCGACGTCGGCGTATTGCACGTCAGCGACTAAGCCGAACGAGACCAATGGCGTCGCGGTGGCCATGTGTTGACTTGACTTGACTATGCGCTGCGAAGGCTTTTTGGCACATGGCTTTCAATATGGGCCGTAGTTCAGATCTCGGTCTGCTCGAAAACGAAAATGCGTATTGATTAGTTTGATTGATTGACGTGCGTCTCGCAGATAATGGCAACGCTTCTTCGTATGTGTCGATACGTTATACGTGGGGAGATCCTCAGGACTCGTTGAGAAGCACTAACAGAACGTCAGGTGGTATGGACTTGAGCCTCGAAGGCGTTCGACATGATCGCAATCTGAGTAGTGAGAGATGTTTGTGTGAGTGCGGCTGCGTCCACGGGACGAGTGACTACAGCTCGAATCTTGCAACTAGCAGCCGACTCGTTGACAGTAGACACTGACCGCATTCAGGTCGACGTGTTACTTGCTCGGGTCAAGTGGAAACTGTGCACGACATCATTCGACTTGCAGTGCGGTAAGTTACTACTCTGTCATTCGCTTTCGCATGGGCCGTCTCGCGCATGAGCTGCTCACTGACCAAAACCCGTATGTAGCCCGCCCGTTTTGGGGCGTGTGTACCACACCACACCACACCTTCAGCGCCAGCTCACACATTCAGCAAACGTGGTGGGTGGTGTTCGTTTGCGCGACATTCGTACGACATTCGCCACCCCCGCCATGAACCCGTTCGTCGAAGCTCCCGAGAGGCAGTTTGACCCGGAGACGTACATCCACACGTCCACGGGCAACAAGATCAGTCGCAATTGCACGCTATGCGGCGCTCAGAACATCCACCTACGCGGCAAAGTCTGTTCCCGCATTGCATGTGCGAGTCTCGTGTCCAAGTGTGTAAAAAGAGTGACGTCGCGATTGGTTGTCCGGTGTTTGTAGACAATTATTGATCCCGGCACAGTCGTTCGTGCAGATTTGGCCAAAGTCTCGCTCGGGAAGCAGTGCATTATCCGAGAAAAGTGCATTGTGAAGCCATCGTCGAGGATCGTTGCAACGTACGAGTGGAAGTTCCGGTCACTGCGACTGGATCTTGAGCGTACGATCAGTGAGTGAGGTTGACAGTCATGTATTGATGGGCTATTTGTTGCCAATAGAGGGCTGGCGTTTATCCCGATCAAGGTGGGAAACTATGTGTACATTGGCGAGAACTCAGTGGTGGAAGCTGCAATGATTGGGTCCTACGTGCAGATCGGCAAGAACTGTGTCATTGTGCGTGCCGCTTTTTCTCTATCATGTATTGTGCTTTTTGCGAGTCGATCTTTGTCTGGAGCTCATTTGGATACGTACACAGGGCAAACGAGCTATCATTCGAGACTGCTGTAGGATCGAAGACAATACCGTTGTGCCTGCTGACGCTGTCATTCCGCCGTTTTCACGGATTCGTGGCATTCCAGGTCTCGTGGTTCGATCGAGTTGAGCGTGTTGACTTGTGCATGTAGAGATTGACTCGTGCGTGTGTGGTTGGTATCGATAGGAAAAGTGGTCGAGGACATGGCTGAAGCTACGCAGGAATTGTGCATCGGACAGATTGGCCGCTACTTTGACAACTTTACACCGCAACAAGCTGAGTCGGCGCGCTGAAACGGAGCTCTTGGATTCAAAGAAGGGACAAGGAAGTGGCTGTAAGCTGTAACAGAAACGAAAAATATTGAGTGTGAAGTGGATCACACTCACTGGTTCCGATTCCAGTAGCAGTGTCTGCCATTATATCTGAACGACAAGCGCTGCTCATGGTCGAAGATCGTAATGCTTCTTTGCGTTCCAAGCATTGCTGTGCCATGCTTTCGCTTCTATCTGCTGCAGTGGTCTCGAATGAAGCTTGGTAGAGCTACGTTTGACTGCAATACACGATCAGCTGTCAATCCTTAGGCCTTGATCACTCATCCGTCTCTCGAAGATGTGATCCGCCCGGCTTGCTTGTTCTCAGGCTCCACGATCGCTTGCCACCGCCATATTGTTCTTGTAACAAGCACAGCTTTGGCCTCAGACTGATACAGTCAGAGTCGAACAGTCTTACCGCGTAATCGATTCCTCGCTCGATGCAGCTTATAAACTCGAGCCGTTGGAAGACATCGAGCAGGCTTTGGCTATTGTGTGACATCAAGCAGACAGTCTCGCACAATCACCAATACTGCCATAGCTCAGACTGTAAGCTGTGCAGCATAACGTGCGTGCGTTGTTCAGCATGGTGCACTAACGACGCTTTGCGCTGGAAAACAGCAGGCAATGCGCGTACCAAATCGCAAACATCTCTTCCCGTGGCGGCAATCGCACAAGAAGTTGTGTCATTGCGACTGCAATGCAGTGAAAGCAATAAATAGTCGCCACATTGAGTACGTCGATCTGTCAATGCACTGAAGCGTCTTGTCCTGTAACAAACGCATGCATGACAGCCTCACTGCGATCGGGCGAGTCGCACCCACGTTGCTCGCGGCTAATAAGGTCTGCTTCGTTTCGTCGGAGATGGCCCGAGATCTTCAGGATGGAATCGACGGTCTTCATCCTGCAGCTCGAGCACCCGTTTGCCTTTGAAGAACCCCTTTGCAGCACATGTCGAAGCAGAAGACAGCGACGAGTAGCTCATCCGTCGGTGCAGTAAACTGTTTGTCGCTGACCACTCCTTCTCGCTGTTGTATCCGCTATCGCTCTGTGGAGTAGGAGACAAGTGCACATCGTCGCTATCGCTGCGCAGTCTCGACGCTGCACTGTCGGTCCGTGCGAGCGTCAACGTATCCATCAAAGCTGCTGCTGGTGGTCCATGCCAAGGAGCGGCAAAGCTCCGTGTGGTCCCCGAACGTGCTGTCGCCGTCGGGGGACGTCCGTGATCCCTACGACCAGACGTGACAACGTCTGGTCGTCCATGACTGCAGTCAAAGTCCTGTCGTCTCGGGCTAATGTGACTCGTGCGCCGGTGCCGCTGCTGGTGCTGTCTCTGAGTCGGCGTGCAGGGTTTGCCCGTCGAACGCAGAGCTCCTTCTTGGACCTGATGAGGGACGCTCAGCGGCCGTGGACGCGCTATCGGCAGCAGCGTCATGTTCATCTGTACGAAGCTCCAAGTGGACCGGTCACTACTGCAAGAGGGACGTGCGGTCTCGATCGTCTCCTTTGCAATACCGCGTGGTCCGATGTCGTTGTCGTTCGCGTTCCGTGTCATGTTTGCAGCTATAGCTACAGGAGAAGCGGTGCGCGAAGAGGGAAAGAGCGTACGTCTGTGTGGTGGGTGTGACCAAAGCGACGCAAAGGGGTCGACAGAAGACGGACGTGTTGAGTGTGTCTGTGTGTGTCTGTCTGTGTGTCTGTCTGTCTGTCTGTCTGTCTGTGGCTACGTCTGTGCGAAGAGAATCGATCGATGGAGTGATGGAGGATGGCCGGACAACTGCGCTTGTGGCTTGTGACTCTTCAAGATCAAAACGTCGACGTGTGGTGTCGGGTGTTCAGATATGAGGAGGTCGGAACCAAACGCGTGTTGGGTTGTGTCGCGACGAGCTGCTGGGAACGGGAAAGACGACGAGAGGGTGGGAACGAGGAGCTGGTGGAGCTGGAGCTGGAGCTGATGCTGGTGGAGGGTGTGTGTGTGTCTCTCTCTCTCGGTATGTCTCTCTGGGTGGGACTGTGGGAAAACACTGTGAGTGAGCGAGCAGCTCAAGAGGTCGCCCCCACGACAGCCGCCTCGCTCCGAAGAGCAGCCGACGACGACTGCCTACGTCCAGTTGGGCCTTTACGCAGCGTTTCGCCTTTGGCTACGAGTGATCGGCGCTGTTCGAGGACGCGGGCCAACAACGTGTGGTCGACGAGGTCCGTCGCCTGCTCGCCTCGGACAGGCTGGAGCGAGGCAGGCCGCAAACCGAGCGAGTCGCGCACGTGGGGCGGCAGGTTTCCAGGGCGTTTCAGTGTCGATGCGGTCGTCGTTGGGTTGCACAAGTGCAGCGAAGCGCGCGCGGGAAGTGCACGCAAGCGCACGGAGCGAGTCGTTGGCGGGTCGACCGACTGCAGCGGAAACAACACTCGTGCCGCGCCTGCGCCTCGACACTGGTCGTACACTTTTGCAACCCCCAAGTGTCGCTCGAGCAGATCGATGACCCGCGGTCGTCCACATATATTGGCGCACGCCCCCAACAACTCGATCGTGTGTCGGCAACGACTCGTCTTCATGCAGCTGCCACACGTGTCAGTCGTTGCTGTGTCGTGTCGTGCGACGTTCGATGAACAACGTGCTGGGGCAACGACCTGACGTCCCGTTCGAGAGCTACAGCACGACATGCTTTCGTGCACACTTACTTGCTCAGCTTCTGGCCTACCCGCTCAGCTCTCATATCTACATGTGCTGTCTATCGCGCAGCTCCACGTCAGCAAACGGACTGCACGTTCACAGCTCCTGGACGCAACGACCGGTACCGCGTCGTTCCGTCGTCACGGCCAGCAGTCGAGCCAGTAGTCGGCTCGTCTTTTATCGAGGCATTGCGTCCGTGTGGGGCCAAGTCACGTTGTCGGGACGAGTTTCCACCTTCGTACGCACGCGCGCCCCGTCGTCTCCTCGTCGTACAACAAAACGACCGACGACTGTACGTACGCCCCCCCACCTCCGCCCGCTCGTGCACAAAAAAATCTCCCCCTCGACCATTCCAAGATCAGACCCCCGAGCTCCACATCAATAAGTGCCCAGTAGAGCAGTGCGAGTCCAGTCCCAAGTCAGTCCATCCCCGTGCGTCCGTGTCGCTCGCCCCCTCGAGAGCCCATTATGAGTGACGTCGCTGCGATCATCAACCTCGTCAACAAGTTCGCGCTCGCCTACTCGCTCGAGAACGCCGAGCAGTCGATCCAGACGCTCCTGTCGCTCTTCACAGACGACGCGACGTTCGTCGAGGAGCTCGTGGGCGGCAAGTGCGCGGGCAAGAGCGAGATCGAAGCGGCGCTCAAGGACCTGGCCGAGCTCAAGTTCGTGGCCGACACGCGCCACTTGCCGAGCGGCCACGTCGTGGAGCTCCTGGACGCTGACAACGCGACGGTCTCGAGCCACACGACGGTCTTCTGGAAGTGCACGCCCGTCATGGTCGTCGCCTGGACGGACGTGCTCGTCAAGCGCGACAGCCAGTGGCTGTTCCAGCACCGCGCAGCTGACGCGGTGCAGAAGAACCTCGAGATGATTGGCGAGATGCAGCTGCGCGGCAAGAAGCAGTACGCGCACAAGGACGAGGCGTGAACTAGAGCGAGCAGGTGACTGCAAGCAATGGCGATCGTGTGTGTGTGGATCTCTCTCGCTCTCTCTCGAGCTGTTCCCGTTCTCTCTTCCTGCTTTTGTTTTTTCCATTGTGTTCAGGTTCGTGCGGTCGCACTGTTGTTTCCATCTGCTTGACAAACAATACACACTCACACACACACACTCAAATATGACTCGCAACCGATCATCGTGCGACTTGGCTCTTGACAGAACGTGAAGATACTGTGCTACCCCAACATATATCCGCTGGAAGAGCGATCGGTAGTTCTCGACACACAAAAGTCGCTCGGCCGCTACGCTGCAACGTAAAGTAAACGCACCTCCCGATACAAACGGGACCCTGTGTTACGTAGGTATCGGGCTGACGATCTCGTTGACAAGTGCAAAGCATCTCGCACCGTACGGTCCGGGCGAGGTACAGTCACAGCGCTCTACGATCTACGTCGAAAGCGCCGACACGGCAGCCAGTGCCTCCTTGTCTGCAAGCGTCAGTTCCGGCATGATTGCCTGGAGCAAGTCCGGATCCGCCGTGACGTTTTGCAAAGCCCGAGGAATCGCGTCCTGGCAAACAATAGCGACAGTAGCAGCATCGACACGTTATCCCGAAAGCTCGGCACTGGCCTAACCGAGGCAAAGCACGCACGACGTACCTTCAGGTCTACTTCATTCAACGGATCGAAGTACGCCTCAAATTCTTCCTCAGGCTCTTCGCCTTCATGGACCTCTACAGCGCCAGCATCGACCAAACGGTCCGACAGAAGTTTGTAATCCTCTGAACATCACACGCAGCACAAGTAAAAACTGAGTGCACCGTCGGACGAACCCGAAGCCCTACGCCAACCAACGCACGCACTTACCTGCAGGCGCAAACACTGAGGACGATGTTGCGGCACCAGAGATTGCATCGTCCTCATCGTCGCCGTCCGACGACTCATCGTCCGATGACTCCCACTCCTCCTCTTCCTCTGCCAAGTTCGACATGGTCTTCGCAAGAATGACAACCAGCTTTGACAAAAAGTGTACCGTCGTGTACTGTATCTCATCCGATGCACAAGCACTTCGAGCTTTCGATCGCGTCCGGATACCAGTGGCGCCTGTCCTTGTCGAATCGACCACGCTTCCATTAACGGTAATGGAGTTTATGCGAGGGTCATTCCACGCGACAACCTTTAGCAGCGCACTCATAGTCACCTTGATGCAGTACAATCCATAGAAATCTTGCTGCTTCTCGATCCAGGTTCGGAACACAAACGTCAGCATGTTTGGCGCCTGCGCACGACCTGCTAGCGCAGCGGGAGGCGGCAACTGCTCCAACACGTTCAAAAGCTCAGTGCCGTGGGAGTGTACAAGGCGAGCAAACACCATGCACAGAGACTGAACCAGCGACGGCAACTCTGTTGCCGCCAGTCGGGCGCAGACAGCACTGAGAATTGACTGCACGGTTGCAGTGGGAAGGCTCGGACCCAGCTTCAACAGGATCTGCGTGATCAAGCCACCTACACAAGCGGCACTTGCGTCGGAGACTGCAGGTGAGAGTAGTTTTGCTGATACCAACAATATTGTGTCGGTGCCGTTTTCGCCAGCGGCGGTGCTGTGTGCCATCAGAGGATCCACAGCGAACATCACGAGCCACTTCAAGCACTCGGAGCCAGAATTCAGCACCTTTTCGTCTTCAACAGCACCCAACACCACAACAAGTGGCTCAAACGCTTGCTGCACGACCTGGGCCGCTAGATCGGCACTGCCTGCTGCCACAGTACCGCTTGAAGCAAACGAATGACGAAGCAGTGTCTTCAGGATAGTCAGCGCACTGCCGGCAGTGTAGATACCACTGCCAGCACCTTCCAAGTTCGAAACACTTTGGACAAGCATCGATCGAATCACAGGCAGGACTTGCTCGTGCACCTTCACCGTCACAGCAGTATCGTCGAGCTGTAGAAGCGCTCCAAACGCACCATCAATCAGTTCAGAAATCAGCGGATCATTCAAGTGCTGGGTCCAATTACGCAAGAAGCATGAAACCACACGCTGCGCCGACTCAAGAGCTAGACCGTCCGATTCTTGGAGAATAACGACCAGCGTCTCCAGAGAAATATGAAGCGTCTCGTGGGTGGATTGCTCTGCTAAGCTGGTCAGCCGGTCGACGATGACAAAACTTGCCTCCTGCAGCCGTGCCTTACCCACATTATTGCGAACAATGGCACCGATCGCACGGCAGGCATACATCCGAACAGGTAAGACTTGGCCTTGCTCGAGCCCCGAAATTGCCATTCGGAAGAAAGCATCCAACATCTCTCGGTTCATGCCCTGGGCAAGACGACTCGCACACCACAGTGCTCTTGCCCGCAGGTAAATCTCCTGGCTACCCGCGTTCATTACCTTGAACAAAGTTTGCAAGAAAGCCGAAAGATCCAGCAGCTGGGTGATATCGTTAGCGTGCTTACGAATCGCATCAAGCGTTGACGTGGCCAAACATCCTACAACCAATAACGCAGCTTCCTGGAGACGCCAGTTGTTTGTGTTTTCAGCCTTCAAGCGTCGTTGAGCCGCACCGAGCGCAGCCACTACAGCCTTTCGTCCCAGCATAGCATCTAGCTCCGTCAAGAGATCGGTTGCAGCGTTACGCACATTGAACGCCAGACTTTCGTCGTCCTCGTCTGCAACGTACTTGTTCGGGTCCTCTTGCCACGACTCCATCTGGCTCACCGTGATCTGCATGTACCCGATCATTACAAAAACAAAGTCGGCCAGTCCAGCAACAATCAAATGACGTGTTTTCTTTGTTGGCGCCTGGATTGCGCCACGCACAAACTCAAACACAGCGACAATCATCGCACTTCTGCCGATCAGTGCACCCTCTCCATCACTGTCGTAGTCTTCGTCCTCCCCCGAGGCACTCAGCACCACATCACGGTCGTACACTTCCACGTCGCGAAGCATCAATCCATAAATCTGCGGCATTATCTGCGGCATCATGTCGGTCATCTCCTTCGGCCATTCACGCACGAAGCTTGCTAGCGATGTCAAGATCTGGATCTTCATCGAGTACTCCTTGACGCTCTGCACCGGTCGCGCTAGCTCCTCTAGAAACAAGGCAATCCACTGCGTCGTATTCTCATGCAGCAGCTGCTTTGCCACATTGTTGCCCACCTGCGCCTCCATGCCAACCATCAACAAACTGCTTTGCACAATACGCGCAGTTCTCGTTCTGGTACCGATTGAAAACTCATTTCTGCGCACAAATAGACGCTGTAAATGTGGGAAAATCGACGCCACGAGTTCGCAGCAATTGTCGCTGGAGAAGTGTCCCCCTGCAAGCGATAAAAACCGCACAGCCACGTCAATTTGCAGCGTATGCTGACCGGAGATCATCATCATAACAGCTGGCAAGATCTCGGGCCATTGGTCTGGCCAATCTCGCTCAAAAATAGCGACCAAAAGGAGACACAGAGCTGTCTGCAGTTTGCTCTGTCCAAAGAGCTCCAGGCGCTGCTCTAGCGCCAGTACAAGTGCATGCCTGACTTGCGTCTTCTCAGAATCAGAAACGACATAGACACTGTCACTTGTCGCCTCTTCCATTAATGTCCAATAGGATGTCACGAGCTGCTTCAGCAAAAGCGCTGCCAAGTGCCGCTGCGTCTCGGACGCTTCCGTTGAGCAGAGAAACTTGACGAGCTCCAGAGCAAAGCCAGGAAGACGCAGGAGCTCAATCAGACGAGCTTCGCTCTGTGCACGCACGTCCGTGGCCGGGGAGAGGCTGCCCTGGAGAAGCTGCATGAGCTCCATCATTGTCTCTTGGGTCTGTTGTCGGAGCAGGTAATTGTGATAGTGACAATAGTGTAGCCATGATGAGGAGCTCAATTTCGATAAAGTGAAGCCATGTCAGACGGACGAGGAGAGACACAAAACAGACGCGAGTCGAGTGGATGGTCAGGAGCTCGGGACGTACAAATATGAGCGATGAACGACTGTATAGAACTATTGATAGCGGTCTCTTTTACATGTGCTTCAATGAGCTTATTGCGCGGCCCTTTGTCGTGTAAGCGTTCGCGATACAACTGCATTTGTGCGCTCGACTGTGCCTTTTTCACCTGCACAACTGTTGCTCTTCCTCGCACAGTCTTCAGTTTGCGTGCGTCCATGTCATCGTCATTAGCTCACTCGCGACTTCGCCCATGACCACGAGCAGGTGAGACAACAAGTAGTGACAGCGGTTCTCTTAGATTGGCAAACACTTCGTTTCCCAGATGCGGTTGCCCACGTACTGTAACCTGTACGAAGTATAGCGCAGTGAAATGCCCTGGAACAGGAACGCCAGGTGGCAATCGTTCTCGAGCATGGCAGCAAAGCTCTTGCGGTCCAATACGTACACCACGCAGTGCTTCGTTGCAATAAGGGACGTCTTTCGCTTCTCGCCCGTGAGAAAGCACATTTCACCCACGACCGATCCGACCGAGACAGCTTCAGTCGTACCAGCCTCTTCCTCCACTACGGCTGTGAGTGCTCCATCAATGAGCAACAAAGCACGGTCGGGTGTGTCGCCTTGCCTCCACACGACTGTATCCTTGTCAAGTTCCTCCTTGCGAAAATACTCCAATAGACGTTGCTGGACGGAGAGAGGCTGGTCCGGCATAAACCGCCGCAGGTTGCGGATATGCGCCAACTCGTCTTCATTCGCTCGGCCCGCATTGGCAGGAGATTCATGCTTGTTCACCATAGTCTTCTCGAGAATGCCGTCTTCGCACCACGCAAGAGCGCTGTCTAGATCCGATGCAACGTGCAACATGCCATTGTCACCAAAGAGCTCGATGAGGTGCACTGTGAACTTTTCGTACGCATTTGGCACCGCTGCAAACACGATCTTGCAGTTGTGTGCATCGCATGCGTACTTTATCTTGGTGAGACGGTCGGCTGCAGACGAATCCAACCCCACCACGAGCGTGAAGTCAAGCACGAGCCAGCAGATATTCGGTCGCAGCCGCGCGCCGTCATGTAGCGTACTTTCGAGTAGAGGCCCAGCCTTACTGTTCTTGAGACTGTACCCTTTGCCAAAGAGCTCGCGCACGTAGTCGCTGAGCTGGTTGATATTGCCAAAGAAAAGATGGCCTTTGAGCTGCACGACATGGATGTTGCGACACTCGCGATCGAGCACATCCAGTTCGTCCGTCGTACGCCACGTGTGACTTCGGAGTGTAGCAGCGCTCATACTTCCACGGATCGGCGCGTTGGTCGGTGTGCGCGCACTCTGCATGACAAACGTCAAGCAAGCCAGCAACGCGCCAACAGCCAGACCTTGATTCATGCCCCAGAACGTCATGGTCCCGGCAATGGCCCAAACCGTGCCCAGCTCCAGTACATCGAGCTGGACATACGTGTCAATCAGCGCTTCTTTCAGCAGGTCCCAGCCCAGATGCATCATAACGCAGCCTGCCATGCACCGCGGCAGGTACGAAACAGCGCTGGGTCCAACAAAGAAGAAGAACAGCAACACCAGTCCAATGACAAAACCACTGCGCCGCCCAGAGCCTCCACACTTGTAGTACAGCGCTGACGTCGAGTAGCAGAGGTAGTTCTGCACACTGCCGCAGAGTCCACCCAGCGTATTCGAGATACCGTGTGCAACGAGTTCGTCATTGATGTCCACCTCCTTGTCGATCGTGAGACTCAGCGACGGAATGTTAATGGGCACGTGCATGAGCGAGAAGAACGTCAGACCCACGATCGTGCCAAAGTGTCGCGGGATGACATGCCACGCTACGAGCGAGAAGTCGTACTGTTGCCACAACGAGAAGAAAGGCACGTGTGGGGCACGATCAAAGAACCAGCCACGCTCGCGCGCCGTGTCAATTGGGATCCCAAGCAGGAGCAACCCCACGTAAAAGAGCGGAGGAATGGACACGAAAAACAGCGGCGGGAACAGCGGCGACTTGATGCGACGCGCGAGAAAGAACAAGAGCAGTGCCAAGACGGCCGAGCTCACCCAGAGCCATACGACGCGGTAATCAAACAGACCTTTCACGCCACTCCAGGACCAGTCGAACGCTCGTCCCGTGGCATTTTCAATCCCGCTCTGCAGCACAAACGCCCCAATGCCGCCCACGGCACCGACGATAATGTGCTTTGGGAAAAGGTACACAATGTTGCCGAGTTTCCAGTAGCCCAGCACGAAAAACAAGAGGCCGCACACAACCGACGACAGCGCGTACGTCACGAGGATCGTCGGCAAGACACTCGGGCTCGTTGCGCCCAGCTCCTGGATAATCGCCATCGAGATCGTGTGCATGAACGGCACGTTTTCGACCATCATTTGACAAATGGCGCCGTCAAAGTTACTGAGCGCGACAAAGGTGAACTGGCAGATGGCCGACGTCAAGAGGAACATCTGAATCCCGAGCGCCCGGGGCACGGGCATCTCGTGCCACTCGACGGGAAAGAACGACAGACCAAAGGGGACACAGATCATCAAGTTCACGAGCACGACAATTGCTATGCTGGGCACGGCTTGAACAGCGTCCAGCACGCGGTGCTTCCAGCCACGACTGCAGCCGTCTCGAGCAGTGGACGCGCGGGGACTCGTCCACGACTCAGTCGGCAATTGCGTCGACCCGTAGTGCGCGTAGTTGCGCGACGGAGACGATGCGACGGAAGACGTGACGGTCGTGGGGAGGGACTCGAGACCACACGGCGACGGCGTGGCGACTGTGTGTGCTGGGGGTGGGAAGTGCAGCGACGTCGTGCCTGCGTCGCGGCGGAGCGGCGGGGGTTCAAAGATCATGTGGGACGGCGCGGGGGAGGACACGGGCGTGTTGCGACGCGGCGAGCGCAGCACCGGATGCGGTGACGGCGTCTGGTCGCCCAGGAGCTCCATTGACAAACGACAAGTAGCTGCGCGAATGTAGCTATGTGCTGATGATATGTGCCTTGTGGGCGATGGAATTGTGTGACTGGGTGCGAGCGAAATGTATCGACGGGCGACGCTGGGTGCCAACGGAGTAGCGCTCAGTTGCTGCTTTCTATGTACAGCATACGGGGGATCGATGGCGTCTGTCTGGGATCAAGCGAGACCAACTGCGAACGTTTCACGCGTCAGGCTTTTGGTCAAGCAGACATGCGTGTGGCCGTGAGTAGCGGATGTCAATAGCCTCAACGGAGCTAACTGGCTCAAGAGCAGCAGCGAGCGCTATCTGAGACCGAGTGATGATGCCCTGTCGACGAGCATCAAAATGTTGGATAGTGGTCCAACTCATCACAGGAGGTCGGGATTGACGATGCCGTCTTTCGATCGACTCGCTCGGCGTAATCGGCTGAACAAGCGGTTTCACACCGCAGAGGCAGCACAAAACAAAGTGCATTTTTACCGCACACCTCTTTCTATCTCTGCACCATTGTCAGTCTGTCTGCCAGCTTGTCTACATGAAGCAGACCCACCCACCCACCCCCTATAAACTGACCGACGTTGCTGCTTCCGTTGTCGTGTGCCTTTCGAGATCCACTGCGAGATCTGCTTTATACCTTGGCGGTACCCGACGCGTTCATGATGACGGCACGGATGACCTTCATCTCCGCCTCGAGGCGCACAAGGCGGTCCATCGCCTGCTCCAACGTCATGCTGCGCTCCATGAAAGAGCCGCCCACCGGTCGGCCCACCACGAACGATCCGCGCATGAACGAGTCGTTGTTCAGCAAGGTCGAACCCATGCGAATACGGTTCTGGCGCTGGGCTTCCTGCTTCACGTACTTCTTGCTGCTCACCTTGCGGTCGTACACGTCCATGCGGTCGGCGTGCTCCAGCAAGAAAATGACAAGCACCTTGCCAAGATCTTGCACGAAGAACCAGCCGAGGCAGTAGATCCAGACGAAGATAGCGAGTCTCAATGGGATCGCCTTCATTTCCGTGAACGGCCAGAACAAAGCCAGAAGCGTCGACACGACAGTGGCAAAAACTGCAGCAACCGCCAGAAGACGACCAGGCGCACGCGTGAAGAACAGTCCCTCGGTACGGGCCGTGAAGACCGTCATGAAGTCGGACAGCGAGATCTTCAGGTACATCATCATCATGACTTGGTCGTACGGAAGATCACCCACACCGAAGTAAGCCAGGACGCCGTTCTCGTTCCACGAGTCGAGGCCCCAGAAGAGCAGCAGGAGCGAGCTGGCCACAGCAATCAGACCGAGCGTCGTCGCCACCCAGTAGATGCGGGGCAGGTTCCAAACCTCAGGACGCTTCGACGGCACCACATTGTCGTAGGCAATCGAGATGATCGTACCATCGTTCAAGATCGTAATCAGCACCAAAGCAATGACAGGCAGCTTGAAGTACGGGTCCACGGCTTCGGTGCTCTCGTTGTTGTTGAGCGGGCAGTCGCCAACGCGCGGGACGAAGTGCGGGAAGCGGCAGCTGTTCGGGTGGAATAGCAGCACGGAAATGAAGAAAAACATGAGCAGCTGGATGGTGCAAGCAATGCGATACGTCACGTAGTTGCGCATGCGCTGGAAGATCTTGCGGGACAGAGTGATGGCGTTGATGATGACGGACAGACCAGGTTGCGTGAGCACAATGTCTGCAGCAGCGCGAGCCGCGTCCGTCGAGCCTTCGACTGCAATTCCGACATCGGCTTTCTTGAGGGCAGGGGCATCGTTCACACCATCACCAGTCATACCACACACCCAGCCACGCTGGCGCAACACCTCGACAATCAAAAACTTGTGTTCCGGGAACACTTGCGCGAAGCCATCAGCGCTTTCAACGATAGCACCGTAGTCTGCGCCAAGGGTCGATGAGAGTCCATCCTGCACATTAGCAGTCGGCAGCACATCCGTGCCAAGGATAGTCGTGCCCATTCCAAGCATACGGCACGTTTCCACGGCAATAGCGGCTTGGTCACCGGTGATCATTTTGACGCCGATGCCGTTCTCGTGAGCTTGCTCGATAGTGCGCTTGGTATCATGTCGCGGAGGGTCCAGGAACGTCATGATGCCCAGGAACACCCAACCGCCGTTGGCCTCCTCGTCCGAAGTGCGACCGACAGCAAGCGAGCGGATACCACGTCTGGCCAAGTCCAGCACCTTGGCCTCCACGTCTTCCTGAATCTCCGTCACATTGTGCGCAAGAGCAAGAATGATTTGTGGTGCACCCTTAGTGACCTTGAAGACCTTTCCATCAGGTCCACGGACCTTGGACTCCGTGCGCTTCACTGAAGGGTCGAACGGGATGTGGTCCATCATCGTGTACTGGTCCAGCGGGCGCAGATCAATCGCGTTCAACACGAGCGTGTCAAGCGCATCCTTGGGCGGCTCCTTCCACTTTGCAGCAAGGGCGGCTGTGACCAGCACCTCTTCACGAGTGGCCGTCGGGTGGAAGATGGGCAAGTCGTCCTGGAGTTCCATCTTGTTTCGCGTGAGCGTCCCGGTCTTGTCCGAGCACAGCATGTTCATGCCCGAGAGGGTCTCAATGGACTGCAACTGCGTCACAATGACTTTCTCTTCGGCAAGTTTGCGCGACCCGAGCGCCATAGTCGACGTGCAGACAACTTGCATGGCAATGGGAATCGAAGCCACGAGCAGCACGACGCAGAAGGCAATGGCTTCGAGGAAGTCCTCGCCGTTGTACAGCAAGTAGCCGAAACAGAAGCCCACCAAGACGAACGAGATGGCCATGAGGAACATCGTGATGCGGACGAGAATCTTCTGGAAGTGGCTCACTTCGTCCACACTCGAGATGAGACTCGCTGTCTTGCCAAAGAACGTCTGGCCGCCCGTGGCCGACACCACAGCTTCGATCTCGCCGCGCACGACCGTCGACCCCATCTTGGCATTGTCGCCAGCCGCCATCGTCACGGGGAACGACTCGCCCGTCAGCGCGGCTTGGTCAATCTGCACGGGTTTGCCCTCGCACAAGTCACAGTCAGCAGGGACTGCTGCGCCCGCAGAGAGCGTGATGCGGTCGCCCGGCACGAGCAGCGCCGCGTTGATGGTCTGGTGCACGCCGTCGCGGATGACTTGGGCTTCGGGCTTGAGACTGGCCTTGAGCGCGGCGACGGCATTGCCGGCCTTGAGCTCTTCGTACCAGCCCACAGTGCCATTGAGCACTTGCAGGAAGAGGAGCACAAAGAAGTCGGGCCAGTCGTTCGTGATGGCCTCGACGAGGATCGCGAGCCAGATCATGATCTGCATGGGCCCCCAGAACTGCTCGGCCAGTTGGAGCCACATGCTCTTCTCCTTGCTCTCGAGCTCATTGGGGCCAAAGACCTTGAGGCGCCGCGAGGCTTCGACGGTGCTCAGCCCCGCTTCGCCCGTGTCGAGGAGCGAGCGCTTGTCCACGCCCATGTAGAACCGGTCGTCGTTGGCGCTCGCACCGCTGTACGAGTGCTCGTCGCCGTTAGCGAGCAGCGGACTTTGCTCGGACATGATGGCCGGACGACGTGGCCTCCCCCTCGTTTGTTGTTTGTCTTGAACGCTGTAGCGACAGTCGCCGGATCGATGGAAGATCGCCCGGACGTGCCCCGCAAATGGAAAAGTGAGACCTTAAGCAGGAGCGCTGGATCGGATTTTTTTCCAAATAAGATTCGGGCGGCGCGCCGGCCACTCACGCCCGCCCGGAGGAGCAGATATGGACCAATCAGGAGGCCGCCGACGTGGCCGACTCCAAACGCAGAGGCAGCTCCGTCTCTCGTTTGCGGGTAGGGTCTCGCGCGCTGGACAGTCGAGGGGACTTTCGATCGGCACGAGTTCATTGGTGGATCCCCTGGCCACGCGCGCCGTCGTCGAGGCCCCTCGTCTTGCGTCTTGGAGTGGGCCTCTGCAGCTGGATATCATGTAGCGGGTGTGAGTTAGTGTTGCCCAGTCAGATGAGGCGATTTGCCCGTAGCGGCTCCATCTCAATGCGAGGGCTGACGTGTTCAGAGGGTGAGTCTACGACGGCTCAAAGTGTCGTCCATTTCTGGACAACCGGCGTCGTCAATTAACGGCCTTGGCTATGCGTGAGCATAGAGGGGCGTCGACAGTTCTTCGAGGGGCTCGATTACATGCCTCCCTTGAACTTTTACTCTTGAGGCTAGCGGAGTTTCGCTACCACTAGAGAGGTGCTTTGATCCACCGCCGCGACCGGCGCTGTATTCTAGGCTTAGAAGATTTCAGACTTCTAGCGCGTAACCATCATGTGCAATAGACAGTCATGAATCTCTCTCTCAATGCGAGGGCTGGCACTGACTGCCCTTCGGCGGGCATCGTTGCGGCTAGAGGGTGGCATGTCAGACGCGTGGCAAAAGCGGGAAGGCAAAGCTTGAGATTGCACGCGAACGAGCTCTTTGTGTCGTGGACAGCCTCGCGACGACAAAACTTTGGCTCTTGGGCTTTGCAACCAGTTTACCGTCGAACAAAAGCATCGAGCGCGTCTGGCCACATGATCGGCAGCAAGACAGTAGGTGGCTATCTCGATTGACGATCTATACGCCTTTTTCGAGCGGGAGCAGCACGGAACGCGCTCTCGCCTCAACGCCGGCCGCCCTCGTCCTCCTGCGCGGTCGTTTCCTTGCGGACGGTTGTGCATCCAGAACGCAGCTTGGACATTTCAAGGCACGACGGGTGATCAATGTTAGCCGTAGAAAGCTCATGCATCTTGGTTTCTGTAGGGGCTCTAATAATCATGATGAAAATCGATGCACCTCATGATATAGCCGGTTGCAGACGCGAAGATGAACGCTTCATTCACATCCACAAATTATTGTCGCCCTCGGAGGCGTTCTAGTGTGTTCGGCGCGTCATCTAGCTGGACAACATACAAAAAAGCGACGGTCGTAGCTCCGTGACGTGTTCGCGTGGTGACTGCTCTGTACCGGTCGAATTGCTAACATTGTTTTGAAAATATTA